ACATAATGTGAGAAAATGTGGTCGAACCAAGACCAACAGCTTTCAAACTATATAAGATGATAAGATATACCTGTCACTTAAGTTGGAATAACATCCCTCTTTAATTTAAGCTGCCTGTACTGGATTATTAACTACTTGAGTGTAATTTTTGAGAAAATATTCTAATGGGAGGGAGGGGCCTTTTTGGATGAATATATTATGCCTAAAACTAAACATTCTTTTTAAAAACCAGCTTTTTCAAAGAAATTACAACCTTTGAAATTACATCTGTTATAATTATGAAGTTCAATTTTTCAAACTAAAGAGCATTTTTGTTTAAAAAAAAAACTTGAATCTGTTTGATTTCATTTTTAAATATGGTCTTGAATTGGAGGTCATTTTGTCACTTGGTACTTGCTAAGTGGTCATCTGAAAAGTGCACGCACACATCAATCCGAAAACACCATGACATACATCAGTGACAGCTTTTTTGCATGACCACAACTTTTTATCCCCTTCCCACACCAGACAGGCCTCGACCGACACGAATGATCGGATTCACTCTATCGTGTACCATACAATATTTCTGTGATTAATTTAGCCCCCATAATCCTTGTTGCTTGAAGTTCTGTTAGTCCTAGCCATGTAACATTCTGGCTGTAATTGACCGATTTTTTTTTCAGTTGCTTTTATAAAACTTTATAAAACAACTATTAAAAACTATTTTTTTTAAATAGGCCTAATAATAATAATAAAGCAGTTAAACTGTATAATGAAAATCCGAAGACCGTTTGCTCCAAAGCCTGGTAATATCGGAAAACATGCATAACATACAATTTCCTCTGCTCAAAATCTTATTAAGAGGCATAGGAAATGGCAAGTTTTTGTCTTTTTTTGTCTTGAGAAAAAAATCTTTGGTCTGCAGGATTTAAAGCCAGGACTCTGGGATTGGGAGAGTACTGTATCTACAAAATTGCAGGTACATTCGTAATTATCTTAATTTTTTTAATAGACTTGTCCTAAGTACTAGGCCTAAATACTGTACTTTTATTGTTCTTCCGGAGTGAATAAATTATTAACAGCAAAACTCCATACTTACTTAAACAAAAAATGGAGGATAAGCAATTTAGAAACAAACATTTGCTTCCTGTGATATCAGGCACTGTTGAATATCTATGGACTATATAAATTCGAGTATTTTTTCCCGAATTTGAGGGGGCTAGATCTACTTTATAGCTCACATGTTGCTCCAAAGCTTACCTTGAAAACGTCTTTGAGAAAACTAAACTTTAAAAAAAACCTAGTGTAATAAATGTATTGATGAAAGATTGATCAGTAACGCGTGACGTCGATTGAACCATGACCCAGTAAAAGGCATTAGTAAGCTCAGTACACCCACAGCGACAATCGCATATCAAATAAAGCTTCGTTGAATTTCCCTTCTAATGACCCTCTAAGTTTGAGTAAGTTTCTCAAGGCTTTGTAACTTTATTTCACTTTTCAAAGACTGAAGTGTGTATTCGACCATCAGTGCAATGCATTCTTTTAAGGGTTTTTTTGTAGTTGGCGTATTCTATTTAGGTAAGTTTATATACATTTTTAAAGGTATTGTCAGATATTCTCTTTGACCAGCATCTTTTATTTGTCTTATTTTAGAAGTGGGCAGTTCGTAACATGCGCAGTAACGGATCCAGAGTTGTTTGCAGAGGGTAGGGGAAGTGTGACTGGCAATTTAGGACATATCGTCCGAAAGGACTGGGATTATGGTCTATACTGCAGGGGCTGGGTTTTTAGGACGGTTCCAATAATCGTAGAGGTCTCATATGTAAATTATTTACACTGATTAGTGTTTCTGGCTGCTGCCGGAAGTGAGTGGGAGTGGGGGAATGGGAGGTATGTTGGGGATGGACATTTTCCCCTTTCTGTATCCACCACTGTGGATAACTAATCCAATATTCTAATTCTTGTAGGGTCAATTTATAGTTTTCCTTTAAGCACATAGTTAATAAGATGTCATTCTTAATTGCAATGTTGCAATTACAAAGTTAGTATTCATCTTATGAAGCTTCAAGCATAGTAGAACAAAGGTTTTCATTTAAAAATAAAAGGCTAGAACGTGAGCCAATCCCCAAAGAAGGGGATTATCCTCCTATAATCTATTTAATGCAAACCTTAATAATTTATGAATAGGGTAAAGTTTATTGTCAGTAACCCCTGTCATTTTTAATTACCCCTCCCATTAAGCAGTCCTAAATAGTGAACCTGCGCTCCTTATTATATATTAACAACGGCTCTCTGGGAGAAAATGTCGCATGCTTTCGATAAAAATTATGAGCATTTGATGTTTTACACAGAGACCAACAGCTAATAATGGTTGACTAAAAATTATCTTAAAGATGTATTGTCCCTTGCTAATATCAAAAAATCATAACAAATAATTTTGAAATAAACTTTGCTCATATTAAAGTAGCATAAAAGTTATTAACTTGTGCGTACAAACTATTGAGTTAAAAAAATGTGTACCCTGATTTTTAAACTAAAAGCATTATAATGAAAATAATAAAACACTTCCAGTGACTGTGTTTCTATCAGTTTTCGCTATAAACTGATGGGTAGACATTTTTTAAATACACTAATTTGTATGTTCAAGTTGATAACTTTTATGTTACTTCAAAATGGGCAAGTTAATTTCAAAAAATATTTTTATGATTTTTTTTTTGGTATTTAGCATTGAACAATACATCTTTAACTTCAGCTCTCTTGCTACTTAAAGAAAAACAATAAAATCAAGATGTGCTACTGTTTCTTTTCTTTACAATTTTCAGTGTGTACAATGGCTCAGATGGAATCTGAATCCGAATCAGAGAGTGTCAAACAGTCGTCGTCCGTATCTGAAATTGAAAATAACAGCGGTGAATCTGAGGGTCAGAGCGAAATCGAAAGTGAGAGTGAAGGCTCTGACGGTGGCGGAGAAGCTCCTGAATCAAGCGCCACCATAATATCAAACGGCAATATCGAAGACAGTTACACACAGCCCCCACCCTCAGGGGATGTTAATTTTCTAGGCACAATAGAAAGCACAACTTCAGTAGTCATAGGCGCTGTCGTTGCTGCAGTCGGCATTGTTTCGATAAGCGCAGCGGTTGCTGTTTATGTGATGGTTCAACGGAGAAAACAAAGGCTATAGGCCTAGTGACATAGATGTATAAATACCGTCTGCTGAATCATCAATGGACTATGCCATATGAAGGACAAAATGGACACTATAAGCTATTTAATTTCTAATCTTTTATGTCATTAGAGGTCCCTATTAACAGTGCAATCTACCAAAACAAATTCAGACAAACCACAGAATAAAGAGTCACGTGACTCTCACGAGCACCTGCATATTTCAATTGAAAATGTAAATATTCTGAGCTCTTCGTTTTTGATTAGTAGAGCCAAATGTAGTACACACTTTATGTCGTCAGGGCAGTTGCAGCACTCCTTATAAACCAGATTTAGTTTAGTCATATTGTAAGAATACAAATGCATGAAATTATCTTTCCATTTGTGAAGAAATAGACAGGCATAAATCAGAAATAAATAAGAAAAATACCAATAATAAAAACTGTATACCTCTATATATCATTTTAACTATTTAAATATCAGCCATACATATTGTACATCTTCTAAATATGTAAAAACCATTACTAGTATATAACAAAGAAACGAAGAGCCAAGCAGGTGGTAAACCCGAAAACACTACATAATTAGTCATTACCAAAACTATTTTTTTAAAGTGAGTCAGAAGCCTATCAAATATAAGTATTGACAGACATTGCAAAATAGTATTTACAAAGAAATAGCTACAAGTATTTTCAACAGTTATGAGCGAAACGAACACTTGAGTCATCCAGGATTTTGAAAGTACTTTCGAATGAGTTCAGATTTCAGTATTCTCCAGGTTATTAGGACCTACGCCTATGGATTAAATACGAAAATCTTGGTTAAAAGGCAGGTGACCGAAGGTACCAGGACAAAAAGCAAAACTAATTACCACGATCCGCATTTCAGACGTTACCGTAATTTCGTTCTAATATTTTTTTTTTGCAATATCATCAATTCTGCCTTTAATATTTACCAATTTTAATCAAAATAAACAGTTCATGTTTTACTTAGTGGTTTACATGGTGTGTCATTGTCAACGTTTGTATATATATATATATATATATATATATATATATATTAATTAAGATAGCCGTTAACACTGTTAAATTATATATAAAACATCAAAGACAGTAAATACAGTGTTCGAATAAAGAACTTAATATTAAATTAATATATTATTTATTTATAGGACAACATTCGTTGAGAGCTATGCTACACGATGCATTATTATTTACTGCATTTACCTTTCTTTGATGATTTATATATATATATATATATATACATATATATATATATATTAGATAGCCGTTAACACTGTTTAAGTAAATTATTACCTTGCGGATAAACGATAGAATGGCTTTTCCTTGTTAATTAACGGACGCACAAAAGTGCAGTTTCTATCATTAGATAATTAAATTGACTGGTAATTAATGTACACATTCTCAGAAGGGTATGAAATCAGCAAAGTGTTAGATATGTGTCTAATTGAAAATCGAACACTTATTTGAGTCTTAAATGAGGAATTTAATTTAATGTTTTAGTTTTTTAACCACAGGCAGCAAGACATATCTTTAATATAGTTGCTGTTATGAAAAACATTATAATGCAGCAATCCTTCACAATTTTGACATGAACTGACTGTATGTTGTGAAAAGTTAACGCGCTCGAATAAGCACAAAAAAATAACAGACTCCTTAACTATGCGCAGTGATTGCCCGGCTTTACAAATAGGCCTACATGATATTATACTAGAGGCATGCAATGGGTTTGCTTCATATAAATTAACACGGTCAATACGTATGTGAATATCATGCACTTATTTGACCCACGTACATGTGAGCTATTTCACAACTTAGGCTAACAAGCATTTACTTGCAGCAGATATTCTAGTAATTATAGTAAATGATCAATGCTAGAAGAATGCACGCTTCATTGACATTTTATGACTAAACACTAAATCTGATTACTTAGAAAATCAAGTCGACACATCGAAAACATTGATCAGAAGTCTCAGCGTTTTCAAAAGCCAATAGGCATGTACAGAGGAATCCATACATACATACACCCCCACCCCCACCAAGAGCACCCCCACACACATACACACACACACATATATATATATATATATATATATTATATATATATGTATAGGCCTATATATAGGCCTATATATATATATATAGGCCTATATATTATTATTAATAATAATAATAATAATAATAATACATATGAATACAGAGTGACTCCCATTGCGCATGTCTTAATATTCTAGGCCTAGTATGCAATAAAATAGTCAAGATGAGTGAGTCAGAATCGAAAGGAAATATTACTAATAAGATGGACAGATTCAAGAGACGACCATGCTATTTACGTGACCTGAGAAAAAGTTGTGCCTGGCACGGGGCTATGTGCTGCAAGGAAAGTTTTGCAATCGTCAAATCGATGAAGGGTTACACTGTCTAATTGTTACTGTACTTTCAGATTGAGTCGCGTATTTCATAAGAAAACTAAATCAAGATTTTGGAGAAAAAAAAAAATGGCTGTCTTTTGTGTTCCATGAAACATATAAATCAGCAATTACATGAATTCAAAAATGATAATGTCCTTTCCTTTAATTAAACAAAACTGCAATCATAAATTCTGTGATTTTTAAATCTTCCTTTGTGTCATATATGTAATATATACATATATACACTTTTCATTGGAGGGCTATACGATAAATTCTTATTCATTTTTTAATTCATAATTAAATAAATTACCATAAATTTGCGACAATTATATAATCTATTATATTATCATTATCTATTTATCATTATATTATAAAATTACATAATTTTATATGGCATCTATCATCGATCAATATTATTTTAGGCTTATTAGAACAGGTCAATTTGGCGCGAATATTGTGCAATGCAATGTAATGATTGACGTCAAACAAGTACCGTACTCCTGCTCAGTAAAATTAGTCAGCTCGAGGTGCAAGAGATACAACCTGTTGTATGACCTGGCCTCCGCTACGACAGCCTCGATTACGAACTGATGAGAAGTCATTGACGAAAACATTTACGTTGCAGATTGGTTATGAGTACTTTGCTTCAAAAGACCCAACTTGACCACCAATATCCAGAATAACTATTATTTCTAGTGCGGGACAGATCTCAATTTTTTTAGGGTCCGAAATAAAATTACGCGATGAAGATCACAATCAACCTACTGCTGGTAGCGCTTTGCGGTATGTATTAGAACATTTTTTGTCTCTACTGTTAAGGAATAGGTCTGTGCGTTTGCAACATACAGCGGTACTGCTTTATGACTAGGCCTACTTCATTATACACATGTTTAATGTATCACGTGTAGTCACATGTAAGTGGGATTTACCTTACTGGTGAGTTATTGATAGTATATTATATATAACAATATTCTTAATATATATATATATATGTATATATATATAATGCATAATGTATAATATTATATAGAAATAATGTAATTATATTATAAATTATTGTAAAGATATTTTTAATAATATTTATTGAAATAGTATATATTGAGCGTATTCGTTTTATTATCTATGTAGTTAGGCCTATATCAATTATACTGAAGATTAACAAAATAAATATATGTACTAATATATTATGATATAGGCCTATGTATAAAATACTGAAAAGTAAAATGAAAATTAAAATGTATTCTGGCAATTTAGAAAATGTTTTATCAAACTAATTTCTAATAGGCCTGTACTGTACCGTATTTATATCTCATCTCAGAGTAAAGATAAGAATTTAATTCAATTAAATATAAACTAAATTTAAAGCAATTATTTATGCTATTGCATGATGATGTGCTATAGACTGGTATATTATTTACATCATCAAATATTATTTTGCTAATTAACCATTAATGTTATTAATTATAAATGCATTTAAACAAACTTTTGTTGTTACAGTTCTATCAAACTTTGGAAACTTGATAAAGCATACTAACATATAATTATACTTACATGTAGTTATAATATTCCGTATCACTATATATAAAATGGCTCAGTGCCAAGAATATTGAAGAAGAGATGTATTTTGTGTATCTCTAGTAAAACGAATGTACGCATTATTACTTGATGACATAATACCACCACAATATTTATACATTTTTATTTCTTATTTATTTAAAGCCATTAATGTAAAACATCGTTTGCTAATAATTTATTACTTACCTATTTATATATATGTGGTTTATATATATATATATATATATATATATATATATATATATACATATATATATATATATATATA